CAATAAAGAAAAAGCTGCAGAAAGAAGATTTTTAAGTTTAGAAGGTGTCTTTGACATGCGCTAGCAATTCTGTCTGTGCTGACGGCAATCACTCCTAAGAACGCATGATCGAAACGGCCTTCTAACGGATGCCACTGTCCAGTGGTCATTTATCACGAAGCGAACGGAGGGTTTTCATGACATCGCTGTTCCCCAAATGCTTCCCCGTTCAGGAATTTACACATGGAAAAAGACAACACTGCCGTTTCGGATAATTAATTTCATCAGTTTATTGCCGTGAAAACAATAAGTAGCGGTACGCGCAACAAGGCACTGGTGTGAATGTGAGCCCCACCTTTCCTCCTTTCGCAAGCCCTCTCATCATATTCTCCCCGTTCCAGAATCTCTATCCGTCTTCGTCCACAATTCCCTCCTCATTTTCCTTCGCAACCACTCAATGATCCCACAGCGGATTTTTACAACGACTGCTGTATGTTTAACAAAGCCAAAACCGAAACAAATACACCAAAATACACAAAGACAACTATACGCATACACGACACACACAAGCAGGCATATGCTAGTTCGCACATACGCACGCAAAATACAAACGTAACACGTACACTTACACAAAAACACGCAGACACAAACACGTTCATACACACGCAAACAAACAAGGGTGCACACACAAACAGGCACAAACATTCACATACATCCACAGAGACAAAAACAGACGCATCCGTATAAATGCGTTTTATGAATACAAAAAAATGATTTTTTTGTCTACAGTTTTCTGGAATGAAAATAACGCTAACGCTGCAAATAAATTCTAATTTAAATTTCTGGCTGGTTAGTATTTTTATTTGTACTTTTTCAGGATTTTCTAGATAGAGTTTGGACATTCATTTCAAATTTCAATGCTTTGATATCTGTTGTTTCATGGCAGTGCAGCTGCCTTTGCAACTGACAACCTCCCGTGAGTGTTGTTTCTGAAGTTGCTTCACCTATTGGTCAACTTGCTGATAATTCTGATATTCTTTCTCCTATTTCCCATTTTCAATTATCGGGAAACATCACGAAATGCAGTAACAATTTTTGCGACTTATTAGACCGAAGCATCCCTTTCCACTTACTTCCTCTCCCTCATTCTGCACTTTTATAAATTTCTTATACAATAAACTTTTCCTACTTACAACGTGCACTTATTTAACCTTAGCTCACTCGTCATTGTTACTATTATTGCAAAAATCATTCTTTATTCTTTGCAGCCGTGGTATGGTAATTGCTAATCCATTAAAAGTTTTTTGGGGAACGATCTAAAAGCGCTAATGTGTTCCGAGTCGCGAGTTATGACCAAATAACTTTATTAATAGTGTTTTTTCAATTTTCTAGAGCCGGAGGGCATAATTTCACAGTGGAGGCAAAGAAAGCTTCGGCCAACAAGCAGAGTGAAGGAAGTAAGAGCATTCATCGCCCATTATCTCTCTTAATTGGTACTTCCTAATATTGCTTTCGAAAATCGAGGGAAAAAAAGCGAGAAAACTGGCTCCTGAAAACCAGAAAAAATGAAATTCCAGTTATTACTGATTAGTTCATATCTGTTTTATTTGTTGGCTGTCATTGGTGCAGCACCGGATCGATCCGTACGGTCAAGTATGTCTTTCTTTTTTTTCGCTTGTTCACAAATTTACGAAAAACTTGGAAAATTGCTAATTTTTCCATATTAACGAGCTTAATTGATTCTGGCTTAAACGCTAGCACAGTAATTAATATGGACGTGATATCCAGCAGCTTTCTGGAAAAAGCATTAAATTGAAAAACCTTTGCTGCTACCAAAAATACCAAGATTTCCCGAACAGTCGGTTCGGGATCCCAGTGCCAAAATACAAAGATTTATTAGGTTGTCATAAAATAGTGCAATTTTTTAAAGACAGATTTTTAAAGAACATGCAGATAGGAATTTTTTACGCTTTTTTAAAAAATTTCAGGATTTTTACTAATTTTTTAGAAATTGTCAGCAAGTTCATTCAAATGTAATTTTGCCATCTATTATAAAATCCACTGCAATGTGTAAACTTTTTCCAAAACGACCTTGGGTTGATGTTTTGGTAACTCCACAGGTATCATTTCTGCGCAGCGTTCTCACGATATCATGCAATAACAAATCTGTAAAGTCTTTTTTCTCATTGTGATTTGTCTTAAATCATGCGTGTGGCTTCCATCTTTTATTATTCACTAATTATATTTTGCATTTTTATTATGCACTTGTATCGCAGTAACTCAAATTTGTCACCTCAGAAAAACGCGGAATTTCCTGTCCAGTAGACTGAGAAATTTTGCATTTATCACTATTCCTCATTTTTCGTTCCATTCAGTCTTCATTACTTTTTATTCTTCTTCTCCAAAGCTTAGGTGATCCTTGTGGCGGTGTAGACTGCTTCCTCTTTAGCAGTTTTTATTAATTATATACATACTTTTAAAGACAATTAAAATTGAAAAGTAAAGATACTCTTCACATCCATTTTTATGAAAGGTGGAGATAAACAAAAGTAATAGTGGTAGTGACAACCATCTGCTGACGGAATTGCTGACGGCTCTTTTTTCTAAGAGTTATTCAGAGAAAGTTGCTAGAGGTTTGATTCCTTGTTATCAGTTAGTAACATTTCATCTCCAAAATACTGCAGAGGATAAAAAACAATTTTTGCCCCAGGATTTTCTGGGTCAGTTAATCCTGCTGCGTTCAACTCCAGTAGGACTTATTTAAACACAAATTAATCGATCTGGTTCACGAATTGAAAGAGTAAGGGTCGGTGGATGGAAAACAAAAAGATCTAGGAGTGGAAGAGCAGGTTGGGCAGATGACGAGAAATCCTGTTATTTCTTACGAATCGCACCATATTTTCGAAGCTTCTTTGAAACAGCTATAATTTTACAACATTTTTTACGCCTTCGAAAATCTCTCAAAACTAATCCATTTCCCCCTCTTCCTTTCATGCCCCCATCGCAGTAAAAATTTTTTGGAAAATATTCTTGTTCGAGAAATACCTAACTGAACCACTAGTTTCCGCAACAACACTGTCTCTATAATCACGGATTGCATCGGGCGATATCAGTGTTAAGCATTCTCAAGAAAATTGAGAGCAGTCATCTGTGAGTGATCTTCGGTACTCCTTAAACTTTCAAGTTGTCTTCACAGATTTGAAAAAATCCCATTTGATTGAGCATTTTCTTAGAACTTGTTTCTTAGTAAGCAAAATTAATTGTTTTTCCAAAATTAGTTAAAGTTCGAGAATTCCATGAGAGAAGGCATTTTTGGCGACCTTCCAAAAAAAGGAAAGGAAAAATGCCTATTTTATTTACTAGCATTTCTAAAAAGACAAAAAGCGTTTAGTCTCAGACCTCTCTCATTAAGAACTGCCCTCATTCCCTAAAGAAGGAGATTTTGAAGTAACTAGACCTTATAGCACATTTTGAAGTAACTAGACCTTATAGGAACTTCTCGCTCATCACTCTGTTCTGAGCGCTTATGGGAATTTTGACTAAGCTAACATGACTGTTAATATTTCTCTCTTCTGAGGCTGCTTACAAGCTGACTGCGGGTTTGATTTCCTGGCACATCGCAGTAGCATTTTCAAATAATGTATGAAAAGGCTCAATATACTAAAAAAAAATATAAAATGAACGATACTAAGGTTTTTCAAAAAAAATATATTTTCTTTTTTCCAGTCGGTCATGCTCACACCTGGAATTGTTTTTGCAAAGATTTCGTAGCTTTTTTGAGCGAAAATTAATAAATTCATTACACATCAGTCACGAAGTGATAAGAATCAATACAAGTCTGGGGGAAATGTAACGTAATCTAGTACTAAAAGTAGAATAAGTCAAACATTTTAATTGCAATCATCTTTTTGATCGCCAGGAAATGAATTTTTGCAGATTCTCACAATTTTTCGTAAATAATGATAGAATATGTAACAAAAACGAACCGTAATTTTTTAGTTCATGTGGGCAGGCGGGATCTTCAGTAATTCAAAATCGGCCTTTTTTTGTCAAAATGACTGGTCTAAATGAAGGTTTCACGATTCGATCAACCTTTTTCATCACAAAACATCATTATTCGCTTTTTTTTTCTGCTGGCATATACAATAATTGCTCTGAATTAATGGAGAGCGAGTGTCTGTGAGAAGGAAAGGGAAGAGTCGGTGGCCTCGGAAACCCCGCTCATGTGTGAATCGTCATAATTATGTGAAAATCCCTAAAAATTGACCATAGTTGCTGAACAAAGCGCACTACATCGAGCAAAAGGCAGCGCACTGAAATCCTGCTAAAAGCTACAAGAACTGAATGTTAGCTGCATGATGGCTGCAAGTCGCGACACCAGTTAGCTCAGAGGGATGTGTGTGCGAATGCCATCAGATACAGGCTATAGATGCTCCAGGAAATGTGTGGGGCAAAGAGGGTGGCGGTGTATTGCATAGTAAGTACTGGAAAATTGCATAGTAAGTTACGTCCGAATATAAAGAAGAGAGGTACAATAGCTTTCCGGCCTACGACCATTTGCAAAGGGGATCTCCGTTCATGATGGTGGGTGCTTAGCTGAAAGTATGCGGCCCAGTAACGATGTACACGGCGCAGGTATACCCGACATGCGTGCGCATCACTCCCAGTAACGTCACTAACAAGGGATACGAACACCGGCTCCCCAATTGTCTTGGTCCCGGTACAAACACTGTTTCTAATTATAATCGATGGAATGAGAAATAGGTTCCTAGGAAGTTTTCCGGAAATGGACAAAGTCTTTTTTATGTTTTAGACATGGTTTATCAGTTTTTCATTTCTTTTTTTTTTTTTTTTGGAAACGAAGAATATTTGTAAAACACGGGTCAAAAAATAGGGAGTGAAAGGAGCTAAGTTCAAGGGCGTTTGAAGAGGCAGCGCAAGAGCAACGATTAAAATTGCTTTCTGTGTTGATCCGCTGCTCTGATAAAAGTGAAAAAAACTGGCGAATGAACTGCTGTGGAATGTTTCCAGAATGCCCGGACGACGGCTTACTGGTGTACGTGAATATGACGGAATCCAATTGGACTCAGTACCAGTTAAGCAGGATAGGAGCCAAATCGCTTGTTGAGTGCGTCCGTAAATGCTACGATCAGCCGCACTGCTTCTCGCTGAAGTACCACGAAATTGAGGATCCACTAAGCTGCCAGCTAACAAGCTTTAGCACTAACGTTAACTGTGCCCATCTCACTCTGGTGCCAGCTGCTGATATTCGGCATGATAGCCGCACGCTTATCACCATCGAATGCATTACATGTCGCACAAGAGGAAAGCCTCATAAAAGTAAGTACAAATGAATCGCGCTAAGAATGCTTCACAATTTATGAACAAGTCCAACTGAACAAAAATTTTAAATGAAGTTAAGTGAATCTAACTTACTATTCGAGTGACCTCCGAAGAAGTGGCACATTGCTGGTGATGGGCACTAAGGTGCGCAACTTCGGATCGAAAGGTCTGATATAGTTGTGCCCGGTGTGTGGGAATATATCTCTGTACTTGAAATACCAACATCAACTCTCCAAGCGGTAAAATGAAACTTTTAAGAAAACTGGTTGTGTGCACACTAAAAATGCATATAAATCAAAAAAAAGTTCATAAAGCCTCTTAATTTTTATGTCTTTTTCTTAAAATCGATGCCAGCAACACTGATTTGTTTTTCTATGAGAATCAAAATGCTGGCTTTTTCTCCACTGCGCCTTCTTTAGCTCAGCTGCTGCTTGATACCGTGCTTAAAATGTAGATCTCTTTTTCTCTTAAACCAATTTCAGTGTTTTCGAGACGGAGTACCCTCTTAACGGACGAAGCACTTAAGGGATGAAAACTGCGTCAGTAATTCTAACTCTGATGATTTTTATAAGAAACTGGAAAAATTCCTCGCCAACTGAAATGACCATCCGTAAATCCTTCAAAATTTCAAGCACTGGGTAGCATATCTGATTTGTCTTTCACAGACGTTTGTTTCCAAGGTCAAGTCGAATTTCAAATTTCGCAATTCTATTCATGTCCTCATTTCGCTTTCCTCAATTCAATAGAATCTCAAAAGGATATAAATAAATTTGCAGCGGGGTTATTGACGTCTTCCGATCCAGACGAAGCAACTAAACCAATCACAACTACAGGTTTTCCAGCTACCACTTCTTTTATTTCATTGAATATGGAAAATTCTTTTGAACTTTTGAATACTCATACATTTTTGAAGCGCGAAACCTCTTTTCTGAGGGATGTAGGCAGTCCAAAAAAAATGGTGAAGAGCAGAAATTGTCAGTAGCAGCCAAAATACCGATAAAGCGACTGATGATACTTTCTCTGAGGGTTACTAAAGAAAAAGCCAGTTTCGGCTCCTACTTCCTGGCACACGCTAATACTAGTAAGCTATCGAAACGAATAAACAAATCGTAGAGAAGTTTGTTATCCCGCCAGTGAGACCGATCCCTCGGTCTGTAAGTATCTCCAGCCAGCAATCACGAAACCTTCCTCTGAGGAACGTAGACTCTCGAAAATAAATCGGATGATGTAATACTAAATGAACAGCGACTTCCTGCTAACAAAGCAGTCGATGCTTTTCAATTAACAATGCTAAATCAAAGCCGTAACGAGAATTTTCCGAAGTCTTTACGAGGAAAACCAAATCCTACGAAAAAAAAACTGGAAGATTTCAAAAAAAGATCGAAGTTTTTCAAAAAGTTGCATAATCCTATTTTAAAAAATGTCGATTCAAAATTAATACATACTCCAGAAGCTAAGCCATGTATGCACGGATCAGAATGTGTGGCGTCATGGGTATTAAACGGCACAACAAGATCTCAGCCATCATCAGCACTGCCATCTCAAAGCCCTAACGCTTCTCCCGCTTCTGCAAGCAAAATTTGCAATCCAATGTGTGAGATTTCAGGCTTTTATTTTGCTAAATCAGCTAACAGTTTGTGCATCGATTTCAGCAACTTTTCACTGTATGCTACAATCATATTGACGCACTGAATGTCATGTGTTTTTCACAATAGTAAACAGGTTACAAGTTCATTTGTAATTCACCCCCTGTGAAAGGCGGACGCATTTGAAAAGAACAACTCGAATGATGGCACATGCCAACATCTCTGACAAAACTGCGGATGGCTCTCTCTTCCAAAGGTTGTTTACAAGCAAACTGGTGCTTTGGCTTCTTAGCAATTATCAGTACCAATTTGCCATCGAAACGGATGAACAGATCGTGAAGGAGCTGTCATCCTAAAACACATGGCACTGTCACTGCTTTTCCAGACGAGAGCAGTTTTGAAAGCATTTTAGTTTATCTACAAATAACACAAATTTGAAATGCTAATTCACGTAAGCTGTGAAATTTTTGCCGCTTCACGAGTGCCTTTACAAAAACACGACTGGGATAGTTTCTTGTTTTCAAAACAGTTTTGAGAAGCACCTAAACTGTTTGTGCACTGTTGTGTTTGAAAACATATTGAGAGAAATCCTCACTCACTTTTTTGTGGTACTTTCATTAGTTGCAATTTTCCAACTGCGCGGTTAGCAGCTCTTTCAGTTGGTTTGACCAAAGATGCACCGGCTGGTAGTCAATTTGCTTGCAGTACTGAAGTCTTGAAGCGGCTTACCGGCTCATCAATCTTCCTCACAAAGGCAAAATTCATAGCTGTTTCGGGTTTCACTCGGAGTTTGTTGAGCAGCACCACCTCGCCCCGAAAAATCATTGCTCTAGACCGGACGATGTAGCACCGTATCGGCTAGAAGCATTAAAACCTTGAAAAAATTTAATAGCGAATAATATTCGGAACAATATAATGGAAGTTTAGCGCATCGATGCCTCAACGATGTATTGTTTATTGTCAAGGAACTCAGTGATTCAGCGAATCTCGATTTTCTGGATGAAGCAATTCATGCCAATTCGGTTAAGAATTGTGCTGAGAAGTGTTTCGAAAATTGCTGTCAGGTCAATTCTGTTGATTTGATTCACTGTTTTTTGATTTAACATCTGAAAATTTCGCCTCCAGCCGTCGACCAGATGAGTTTATCTAAGCCCCATACTATCTAAAAGAAATTGTTAACGCACTATTGTACGATCCTGCATCATTGATGAAACGCAAAAACGCTTACTAGTGAAAGATTATTACATTTACTTTGTTCTGCCTAAATTTCGTCATTTCGTCATTACATTTCGTCACTACCGCTAGCAGACTGACCACCGGACGATACAGCGTTGGTCAAAGAAACTTGAACAGCTGACTTATGAACTGCAGCTGATCAAAGTGTCGAAGCAAAGTATCAAACCTTCTGCTAACAATGTATTTAAGTGACCAATAAACTTGATAAAGAAAACGACAAACTGAAGCCTCCAAAAAGACATGCGTGGTATATGCGTTAAAAATTAGCTAGTAACAGTTAGTCTAGATCAAGAAATCGGGGGATAGTTGTGCTTAGAATATAATTACATCTCAAGACACTGTGAGTACCATACCGGAAGTTTGAGCGATTTAAAGAAAAATGTAAAGAAAAACCGTAAGTAAATTAATCTTGCAGCTAGGGTAACCACGGTGTTTAGCATATCGTATGGTGCTCTTCTAGCCAAGTAATACCAAAATGTTGCGAGGAAAGGTGAAGGAGGTCGAAAAGAGGTCAAAATTCTGCAAATTTTTGCTTATTATTTTCACCCTCCCTCACCCATCCTCCTAATCACGATCTTTGTGATACATTCCACCATCAAAAAAGATATAATTATTGCAGACAGCTGTGTACGTGCCAGCCGAAAAGAAATGCCGTTTCACCAGAAAAGACATAACGTTCAGCATGCGTAGCGCTTGTGACGCGAATCCATTAAGTGCCTACGTCAGCCAGTACAATGGTACCATTTTGTGAGACTTCGTTCTTACAATTTATAGTTTCTTCTAGTACAACAAAAATTTTGGATAAATTCAAGGAAAAGGCTAACAAAAGCGATTTTTTTCCCAAGACTATATTCCAGTGGTCACTGCTGCTGTCCACTCTGCTGAACATCATCAATCCACGTTTTCTCCCTTGAAGTAATTCAAAGACAGGCAGATTAATTCATGGAAAAACGAAAACTTTTACTTGCCCAAAAATGCAATAACTCTGTCACTGAGAGGAAAATTGAAATTTTGGTTTTTTTAGAAAAAGAGGAATATGCACTGGAATAAGAAATTAGTAAAGCTGCTGAAATTAAGGCGTTTTTTTTCATTTATCTACTACACAAGACAATAAACTTATAAAGCGTACATATTGTACCTATATTATACAAATGTATAGTGCATGTTATACGTACGTTATACATAGTTGCTTGATATAAATGCATAAATATTAGCTCACAAATATAAACCTTGCGATATTTTGGTTAGCTGCAGTTCATAACTTTTTCTCCATTTATGCAATTAGCAGGTTTTCCCAGTTGCTTTGACCAGTGACAGTTATCCCTCTGGTAAAGCCGACTTTCATTTCGTCTTCGGGAATGCCAGCGCACCGGTGAATGCGTTCATTCAACGCCATATTTTTTAAGCTGCTACATCAAATTTTTTCGTGTTTTTTCAATTTTCTTTTGTTGATCTGATCGATATGGACGTAATGCTTGAATTTTAAGGAAGCAGCCGTGTGGAGATAACGTGTCCAATTTGTGGCTCGTCCTCTCAAATTCCTTCCAGCGAACAATCTTTAATCACCGGTAAGAGCTGTAACTTATAGAAATTAATTGAAAAATCAGTGCTCTACGTATGGAAGCATTCCTGTAACATTTGTAGTATGAGCTACCCATGCTGATAGCCCGGATGCTCTTGGTATTCTTGTAAAAATCTGATCACTGCAAAAACCACAAAACAATTTCAAATTTCTTGTGGTGGTAAATTAAGCAAACTTGCCTTAGTCGGAGACTGTTATTGTAGAGGGCTTGTGCTGAAAGACCTCCTTGCGATGTTTATTGAGGAACAATAAAGAAAACATGGACGATCATAAGTTTGTGGGGAAGCGAGGCCCTAATTAATTTTCCCTGGTCCACATCTTCTGGCAGCATTCCTTCTAGAATGTTCTCGCATGGCGTTTCTTTGAAATTTGGTTCCGATTGTGAAACGGCCTTCACCAGTGAGATAATCTGTTGGCCCAGCTTTTGTAGTTTGTTGTCTTAGCTTCCTTTTGAATATCTTGCCGCAGTATTAAGTGCATAAATTTTGCTACACTGACTTTTACCATTATGCAAAAATGCATAAAACTGAGCGGATAAAGTGACGAACATTGATTATGCGATGTGTGAATAGAATAAAAAAATTTTTAATTTGCCAGTTACAGCACGAGATGATATCGACAAACAGAAACCGGAAAAACCGGAAGAAGTGTTGAATATCGATGAAGTGCCGGCAACTGTTGCTTCCGGTAAAGGTGAACTGGCATCTGATAAGGAAGGGTTGACTAGTACCACAGGCTTGCCTGGAACAACGCTCAACGAGCGAGGTGAGTTAGCAAAATATACACGTTCGTGGCTGCCCTTAACGATGGGAGAGGGTAGGGTCACTCACCCTACCCTCTTTCTGTTTATTTTGACTCACGTATTTCAATGCAGGAACAGTGACCAATGCCATAGTGATAGGTAAAATAATCAAGTCCAGAGCCAGACTGGAGTTCAGACTGAACCAGAGGCAAAGCATTTCTGGATCATTTGGATTATCACTGTTTGGTTTTCGGATTGAGGGAGGAAAGAGGGAAGGAGGGGGGGGGGGGGGGGGGGGGGGGGGGGGGGGGGGGGGGGGGGGGGGGGGGGGGGGGGGGGGG